TTTTGGATTTTGCTGTACTTGTTCCAGATCAGTGACTCAGAGTTAGATTCAAAATTACAGCCACACAACTAGCATTATAGAAAGCAAAATCAGCGCTGGCCCTGTTCTCTCATGACAGGTCTTGTTTAAGTATGTTTTTTACATTTATTGAAGGTCACAGCACTTACAGCTAAGACCTTCCACACATGTATGTGACCAGATATGCCCAGTTCTCATTATTATCTCTAGACCTGGGCTGTCTGTGATGTGCTTGAGTGTCCTGACAGGCGGAAGCCATTTTAGCAGAGCCACTCAGCTTCAGTTGACCTCAGACAGATCTATCGCTAGTAAACACTATTCTGCTTGAGTGGTAACCATTTCCATTTTCTGAATCTTTTTCTGAAATCAAACTTCTTGACATGGGAAAGGTAGATCAGAAGAGGTTTAGACTGAAGACGCACTAATATTATGAATTTTGTATTTGGTAATAAATATTTTATTCTAAAGTATAAGGTCTTATTTAATGCAATGCATCAGTGATTCACTGCCATTTTTCTAACATATTCTAGCTACTGTATTCATCCTTTTGTGTTCCTTTTGTTGTGAATGTATTTGGTGTTGAGCACTTGAGCTTTCAGTATATAGAAATAATTATTGATATTTGCATAACTGAGCGTGTTCATGCTCACGTACACACATTTTCTGTGTTTGTACAACAATGTTCTGAATTAGGAGTGTCCTTTTGCTTGCACTCAATTAGTTCTGAGGATTCCCGAAACGCTTCTAGTAATTAGAGTTTTCATTAACACCTTGCAGAACGGTCAAAGGAGCTAGCTTTCTATTGATGTGAGCAATTTACTCAGACTATAGATCAAAGAGTAAATGATAGAATGATATCCCACATGCACCAGCATTGCTTGTAGGCTCCCTGCAGCTGGTCTTTTCACCATTAATGACTTGCCATGCCTTGCTCTGTACCATGCGATTATTTGGAAGTGGAAAGAAAGCACTAGACCTGTTTGATCATTCAGTTTTTATCAACCAATAGTGGTCAGGTTATGTGAAATATGCATATTGTGGCTATTGGATAGGCAGCTATCACTGGCCTAAGGGTCTCCACAGTATGTTTGGCTTAACAGTGAACACAGTAGATGTAGGAATTGACGTGCCACACCATTTAAAACAGTCCAGTTACAATTTTCTGCCACTACGGTCGGGGACAATCAAGTAGAATATCTAATGCATTTCGGGGGTCCAAAAACACCCCTTCATCAGTGCTAAAGTAAAAAAACAAAGGAACATTGTCAATATATAAAAAAACACGATTCAAACCTTTTAACCTTTTTAGCATTGTTATTTTTAGAAATGTATTGCTTCTTTTTATATCAATTTAGGAATAATGCTTTTATGGTTTTACATATATTCATTATGAATAGTATATACACAATACTAGGTACTGAATCTATGTTTTATTATTGCTCCACACTTTTGATGTACTAAGTAAGCTTTTATCTTATTGTGTTTTTTATCTGTATTCACAATGTTCCTTTGTATTTTACTTTAGCCCTGTGTTTTTGGACCCCTGAAACACGTTACCTATTCTACTCAATTGTGCCCTGACCCTAGTGGAATAAAGTTGTATCCGGACTGTTTTTAATTGGTGTGGTGCTACAATTCCTACATCTAGCTTGTTATGTACCATGACTCTGTGTGGAGGCAGCCATCTTGTTAGAGACAGAGCTTTGCTTTTTTATGTTGGCACTGCTCCCCTGAAAACTGTTCATCTGATGACTGGAGGGAGAATATTTCAAAATGCAGCAGGAAAGATAAAATCACAGATTCATAGACTGAATGAAGCAGAAGCAAGGAGATTCCTGCACTGCAGGTACAGCTTGCTCTCCAGCAAAGAGAACAGTGAGCAGTACAGTAGTGACTTTATCACCATATCTTATTTCAAACGGCGAATAACAGTCATCGGAGGCATCCATGGTCAATATATGCGTTTTGATGATCTAACACTCTAGATTCACAGGTATAAGGCAACAGGACAGGTGTTCCTAGGTGCAGTTGCATGTCAGGAGAAATTCATAGCAAAAGGTAGATTTTTCACAGCACTGACTAGCCACAATTTGCCATTCTAAGTGTTTTTATATAAGATCGCAAATGTACAGTTTGTGAATAAAGGACTATGTCAATATCCAAGTTTGAAGCTGATAAGCGCAATCCCCAGTCTGTGTGTTTTACTTTACTCTTTTAGCTATTTAGAACAATTCATAGTCCAGCTCTCCTTTGCAATGATATCTTCCTGTATTTGCATCTGTTGCCTTCATCTTTTAGGCATAAATATATAATTGTTCATGAATAAAACAGTGACTTAATATAATATCTGGTGTTAACATGAGTTGGGTAGCCTGAGCTTGATCAGAGTTTGCTACACTCTCATCTAAGAAGTTGAAATTGGCACCCAGTTCAACGTGTCCTATTATACAGAGGGGACAATTGGAACTGCTGTAGAATGACTGGAAATACTGGCTGATGTCATATGACGCAATTTAATTTTGACATTTGGTCAGTAATGATTTCAGTTGACCTTAGACTTTTTTCTTGTGTCGTACACAAGCTAGTTTTCTCGCCTGTGTGCTTTTCTAAACACTTTCTGTATCTTCCTTTTTATTTTGTTTTTAATATATAGTTTCTTTAATGTATTTTAACTTAAAAAGAAAATTACGAGGAGATCTCTTAACGGTTAATGTTTATTTTTTTAGAAAATCCCAAATGGTGCCAATGATTGATAGCCTTGCATCGGAGAAAGAAAATTAGCTGCCCATGACCTAGTGATATTCATTTCCTGTCAGTTCACCTGTATCTGCATGAAAAACAAATTATTAATAATTTCACATTATTAAACACAAAATGAATCATCCTTCCGAGTTCCCCTGTTGCACAGATTTCAGGTATTTAGAGGAAAATGTAAAGTTCAGGTTTAATCTTATATTTTTCCTTCCTTGTTTCCTTCTTTCCCCTCTCATGAATATGGTAATATTTTTGGATAAAACCTTTCCATTTTTATTACATTATTTTAGACCCCAAGGTGTCATCACTGTGTCTGTGTGCTTCCATATGCAATTCATGGCTAATAGCAGGGGTCAGCAAGGTGTTGTACATGGCTTACTGGAATCCTCACAGCACTCTGCCTCAGCACTCCCCTTAAGAGCCCTCAGCCCTGATGCAAGCAGTGGGCTTGCTCTTGGGAGAAATAATATAAATATCAAAATGCTTTGATGGTTGGATATCAGTCTGGAGGAGAGGGCATTCCTAGGCAGGCAATGCCTACATGTGATTGAAAGAACTGAAATCAAATGAATAAAAGGGGCAGACAAGGGACAATAATGCTGGGCAGAAAGGTAATGGTACAAGTTATATCTGACTTGCTGCAGCTTCTGATGCACACTGTTAAACCAGAATAAGCTATTTCAGTACCTGAAGGAAACTTCTACAAATGTAAACTTAAGGCTGGAATTCACTTCATGAAACTATGTACTTCAAGACGGCACATTAAAAGCAAACTCTTTCTAGAACACTTATAAGAATCACTGACCTTTTTGTTTGTTTTTTCATTTTGTGTGTGTGTGTGTGTTTTAATTTTCTTTTACATTTTATATAGTTGCTTTGCCCTGACAATATTCTCTGATGCTACAATTAGTTGTTTTTTTTTTAAGTGACTTTCTCCACCTCCTGATATGTCTTAGTTCTTACTCTGCTCCACCGTCTTCTGCACATTGCATCATTGGCTCTGCTCTTGGCCCCATGGTGTACTTATGGAGAACTCTGCAGTATTGGCCTGCATTCTAGACTAACTCTTCATATAAATAAGTTATTGTTCAAGGTGCATGCGTGGATCTAGCTGGAAAGATTTTAACAAGTGACTGTACAGTGCTGATGAGACTACATAGTTGATATTTGGCTGGATCAGGGACAGTATAAGAATGGGACTGGGGCCCGAAGACCGATGGGACTACAACATCACCCCATACTACTCATTCAGTTGTAACATTACTCTCACATTGACTATACCATCATCCACAGATTCCATTGACAGATTGCTCCTTTATACCCTGAGCAATTTAATGTAATCACCCATATATCAACTCCCCTCAGCTGTGTCCTGTGACCTTTTGTCATTCTTTCTGTGAGGATTGATTAATGCCCATTCACCTGTAATACCATCGCAATTTTAAAATTCCATGGCATCCAAATACTTTGTGTGATAATAATCAGAGCCAACAGTATCAGAAGACGGCACTCATTCACTCATAGATTCATGCATCATCTCCTGGCTTTACCTACAGCAACTGGAGACTGTAGTCCTTGTATTTGCAGGTATTGGTAATAAAAAAAAAGCCACATTTGCAGATAATTGTAGATATTTACTGTAAAGATTAATTAGTACAATATATACTATGCCATTTATTATCTAGTGGATTACCATGAATTTTATGTGTGTCATTGCCTCTGATCTTAATGCAAGTAGTTTTGTGAGTTAGTGTTTCACTGCACTCCTACCTAATGGTTTTATCCAAGGATAATTAAGCCATGCAAAAAATTCTGACCTAATATTTACAGGAATAGAAGACTCCATAAATGCATTTTTAATAGCAGTCACAGATCTGAGACCTATCCTATGTGACCAAGCTTGGTGACACAGCTATGTATGTATGTTTGGTGTTGGGGGATACGTGTGTGTGTGTATACACGTGTAGTATGTAGTTTTTATTATTTCACACATCAGTGTATGTGAAAGTCTTATTTTACGTTAAACATTTTTGCACTAAATTTAGTGGGTTTTTTTTTTTTGACCTGTTCTGAGTATTTATCATGAAAAGCCTTATTTATCAAACTGATAAGCTTTTTGTGTTGCCCATAGAGACCAGTTTTGTTTTTCTTTATTTCATTAAATATGGTTACACATATCTACTGCCCTATCCTTTGCATTTAAATCCTGAGGTGTAGTTTCTTTTCAGGTCAAAATTATGCATCCCATACTTAAAAAGAAGTAAAGTGGCACACATTCTAAACCTCAGTCCTCCACTCAACTTGAATCCAATTTGGTTTAAGAATCACTGTGGTAAGTGCTAGAGTTTGTTTATGGATTTACTGTGCTGTTTCTTTTCTGTTGTATTTTCAGTACTAAGCATTTACAGTGTTAAGAGTTGTTAAAGTGATGCTAATCTCAGAATTTAAATCTTAAAAATAAATTCAGGTACCTTGACTATCACCAAAAATGTATCTTATTTGTGTGTGACTCGGCTGTAGATCCTCAAATCATCTCTGAATTGGTGCTGACACTGTCCTTCCTTCTGGAGGGTGGCTACTTTTGTTCCCCATGGTCCCTGTGTGTGTTGCAAAGTAGTCACCACTCCAAGCTTGCTCTGGTGATGGACTACAATGTCAATACAAATTAGTAAACGTGAGATTGTAGTCCATCACAGGAGGGAGCTTGGAGCGCTGACTACTTTACATCACACACAGGGACCATGGGGAGCAAAAGTATCCACCCTCCAGAAGGAAGGACAGTGTCAGCACAAATTCAGAGATGATTTGAGAATCTACAGCCAAGTGATACACAAGTAAGCTACATTTTTGTTAATAGCTAAGGTGTTGGAATGCAGTGTTATTTTTTTTTAACTCCTGAGTTTAGTGTGGCTTTAAGCTAGCCATCAAAAAACTAAAATGCAGCCTGTTGTTGGGCAGCACTGAAGTTTGAGAACAGTAAGTGCATAATAAACACTGCAGCTAAATCTTAGCTTTAACGTTAATCCTTATTACATTTGGCTATTGGTATGATGGTATACGTACTCTTCTGTATAGATTTAGTAGATCTCTATAGGAGAGTAGCTGAGTCAAGGCAAGATAATGTTGGGGTTTTATTTTGTTTTTTTTTAGCATATACCATTGCAAAGTATGGGATGTCTATGTGTGTTTTGGGGATGGCTGAGGAATTAAGAGGAGAAATTGCCGTCAACGCTTTGTGGCCTAGAACAGGTGAGTGATCTCTTTCATTTACTGCTATTCTACATAATTGTCTTGTATTAGGTTAGTTGGGTGTAGCGCAATAAGGATTGACTCAAACAATCGAAATCATATAAGTAAACAGTTCAGAGTTGCACAGCTCCAATATGTTTATTCAAATTAGTAGTCAAATAAGAGCATGCATGTATTTGTGTACATCTATAGTTGTGAAGAAGTATACAGGAAGTAAAGGTGTGTTAATTTTTCCACTAGTTCTAGGTTGAAATAGAGCTGTGCAAGTTGAAATAATAAATGAGGATGTGATGTAGTACAGGTGGTATAGCTAAATATTTTGTGTGGACTTCAACATCATGTCAATGAGGGTTCTGTAACAATGGTGGCATGGGTGGCAACAGCAAATTGCAGCCATCGATGTCTTTACCCACACATGTGCAGTCCCAAACAACTATTTGTTGATATTAATCCAGGCAATAGAGGCACTCCATAATGTATGCGTGTGTTTGCAGGCTCTGCAAATGTGGTGTCGCAGACAATACTATGCATGAGCACATTACATCACAGTCATGCGCTTGTGCGAAAGACAAATGCAGTCAATATGCTTGCAGTAAGCGGAGGCCACACTTGGTCAGAGCTGATGAGGGGAGCAAATAAGGATTTTCGAGGGTGTAAGGAGGAAATGCGATCACACTGCGGCCTTCACCACCACTTACCAGATACATGTCAGCTGCCCTTGAATACCAAAAACTGAGGTGAACAGGCCAGAGCATGGAGCTGCCGGACACCTGCAGACACTGTGTGCTGCCATTGGAGCCATCTACCCATCCTGCTATTGCCTATATGGGGGGCAGTATGTGCTGATGTTGTACCTGGGGCCCTGGCATTGTTTATCTTCACGGCACTTTGCTCATCAGCATACCTAACACCCTGCATCACTCTCACCACTGCAACTGACTCCCATCTGTCTCACCCTGCATCTGCACACCAAACCCGCACTTAAAAACTCACACCATGCCTGCACACCTCCATTTGCTGTTACCTCCACATCTGACCCCAGTCCTCCTGCCCCTGCTGGCACTCCATTCGTGCACACCCCACTTCACGTGGCACTGCTTGCCACTGTACTGATGCACATTGTGCTCACCTCCTATAATACACCCTTCCATAACTGTTTTATAAATATCTCTATCTAACATATTGATTTTTCCTACTTGGAACTAAAAAATAATGAATGTTTTCAAATAAGGAATAACCTTTTGCAATTAGTCTGCTGTTACCAGTAATAAACAAAGGCCTCTTTTCATTAACAGAGATATTAAACAATAATGTGCAGTATTCCATAGCAGCATCGTGCATCGCCTTTCAGCAGTTGCTGACTTCTGGTTTCCTGCAAAGTGTTGCAGAACTTACAGCACTGCTGTATATTGTTATTAAATGCAAGAATCAAAGGTGGTACTTGCTTTGCCTTCAGGTGCCTGTAATTTCAAATGTATATGAAAAGGAAGTTACATATCAACATTTATTTTGTGCATGTCAAAATGTTGTTTAATAAAGTGTTAAGTACTCCTTGTGGTCTAGGGGCAAAAATTAAGAAGATACTCATCTAATCATCAGTCCTACGACAGTGACCACTTTCCTCTCTCCCCCTTTGCTCCGGGTGTGATATGTCCCTTGACATCCTCACGTCTAATGGACCTACATTAGCCGTGATGATATCATCAGTCCTTAGACTGCTGGAGCCCGGGGAGAAGAGGCTGCAGGGACCGGTCTAGCAGCCAGACGGGACCAAGCACCAGGTGAGTTTTTTTTTTTTTCTTTATTTTCATCCCTAGACCAAAATGAGCTGTTTATCATTGCAGTGCGGTGTAAGCCACACTGCAAGGATTAATTTGAAAACAATCTGGGATTATAAAAATAAACATCTGTTAAAAGATTATGTGGCTGCCTTTGCTGAGGTTGCCAATATTGGTTGCCTGGTTGTCATGCTAATTTGATGGTCTCAATACTTTGAGGTAATATGCAGATCAGGAGTTAAGACTTGACTCTGTGTTTTTAATTTGCTTCTTTGTTTTCTGTCAGTAAACTAAATGAAATAAAACTAAATGAACACAAAGTGCATCAAGCCAGGGATAGCCAGGCAAGTAGTAGTCTTAGATGCCTGTCGGCAATAATTGCACCCATACTTTTTTTTAGAAAAAGTTTAACATATTGTTAAAGCAAACCTCCAGCCAAAAATATCAAGATAACATGAATATCCTATTTAAAGATAAAACAACTTTTGCTGCTGTTAATAACTTTCAAAAGAGAGATGTCCCATGCAGTACTTCTTTTCCCCCACTAGATATCCTCAGTCTGAAAGCCAGCATCATGCAATCCACTTCCTCTGAGCCCAGGCAGTCATGGATGTGCCCCAACCTCTGACTGGAAAGCTAACTGGAAGTAATAGTGATGAGCTCATCACTGTCACTCTGCTTTCTATCAGCATACTGCATTTTGTTAAAACATGAACTGAATGATTATTTGTGCTGCTTCTTCCACTTACAGTCAAGCCCTTCTGTACAGGGGCTGCAAGAGACTGATGCTGGGTTAATGTATGTATTAATGATTACAGAGTGTTCCATGTCTTTTGGCAGCCATAAAAGTTAAATGTTAAGCATTCAGTTGCAAAATATAACTCTTGTTGTACCCTACACTATGGAGAGGCATCAGCCAGTTGTTTGCCCCCCACCCCCGGGGGAGCATATTGTTACCCAGGCTTGGCTTTTAGTGCTCAAGATCTGAGCAGCTTTCGTTCCCAGAAGAATGCCTGCCACCCTTAGAGGGAAAAAAGAAAGCTGCCACGATGTTACGGCTAGAAGGCTGCAGAAAAAAGGTATGTATAGGGGGTTTTAAATAAAAATACTTTAGTGGTGGGAGGAGACAGATGGTGAAATGCAGTTTAAATGCCTGGAGTTGTGCTTTTAAACAATGCATTCAAATTGTATGCAATCGTACAAGCCTTTACACTACATAGTTGGTAGATCTAAAGCAGATTGTACAGTCGGATTGTATAGTAGACTGTAGACTGTCCGCTAAAGGGTTATTAAACCCTCCGGTGTTTTTGCATATATCTACTGCTAGCAAGCAGTAGATATATGCAAAAAGTGTAAAAAAAAAATAAAACGCTTTAAAAGTGGTTTAAACTTACCTGTGTCTTCCCGTGCGCTCCCGTCCAAAACCCTGAAAATTCTCAGGCGGCAGCAAAGCATCTTGGGAAGGGCGCATGTGCAGTACAGATTTTCGGCCGGGAGACCAGAGACACAAGGTAAGTCTATGGACGCGTGCACACGCATGCAGACCCCTTGGGACAAGAAGTGCCAGCAAGGATAGAGGAGTCAGCGCTGGAGGGAAGGCTGAAAATGACACGAAAGAAGAGGAAGATCGGATTAAGAGACATCCATTTAAGTGCTTTACTTAACATTGGGGGGAGGGAAAAATATCTTTGACTTTAATGTTACTTTAAGCATGTTCTCACATGTGTTTCTCTCATGTTTATAGCTATACATACAGCTGCTATGGATCTGCTGGGAGGATCCGGGGTGGAAAAGCAGTGCAGAACTGCTGACATAATGGCTGATGCTGCATACTCCATCTTCACAAAGCCCAAGAGCTACACTGGAAACTTTGTAATTGATGAGGAGCTACTGAAGACTGAAGGAATAAAGGATTTTGATGTCTACGCAGTGTCTCCAGGTAGTAATGTTAAACTGTTTGTTATAAAAACTGTGACCAATATAAGTGGCTATTTTAGTTTCCATCTACTTGGCCTAATGGCAAAATGACCACTATAGGCAGAAAGGCTTTATACCAGGTTTTGAGGATTGCTTATGAGTTGGTCTGCCAAGTTCATGATTCACCAGACTTTAGATCTTGAAAAGTTTGGCAAAGTGACTATTTAGACTTTGTCCTCCTGCTGCATGTTATGTTCTGTGCTAATATGCTTTGCATTAGAGCAGCCCATTCAACTTAATGGGGGAGATCAGTGAGGGAAGTTAGACTGTATTTCAAATAAAGGTATTTTGAAATTAGTCTTTTACCAGTTCATCAGAAAAGAAAAAACAACTTACTTGCCTGCAGTGGGGGTGTTTTTGTGCAACGTGTCCTATTATACAGAGGGGACAATTGGAATTGCTGTAGAATGACTGGACAGTGGGGGTTTTTTTGTGCAACTTACCTGTTCACTGGCAAAAACACCCCCACTGGAAGTTCTTTTCCCTTTTTCTGATGAAGAAACCGAGAAACAGACTTTTTTTCAGTTTTGTGTCTCTGAAGTGCTCCAACAGAATTAGGGTTCAGTTCACAAACCTAATTCTGTTGGAGTAACTTTTTATTTTTCTCGGCTCAAAGTTGGTGTATTGCGATTGTTTTAAAGCCTGTCTGTTGTTAAAATGCTTACAGGTGTATAATAGCCTGCAAGCTTACAGCCCTTCAGCCATGGCTGTACCAACCATTTTTAATTTTATAGCTGAAAACATTTCAGATCTGACATGCGGTGTTATTACACTTTTGCAAATTCAATCTTTGTCGATTTTTATATTTAGTTTGATTGTGCAGATTACCAGTGGGGATGATTTATCATTATTTATGCATTTCTACTCTGAGTTTTGATGAAAGATGAAAAAGATGGCCAACCTGAACAGCTTTGGAATATTTTCTGAGTAGCACCAATTGAAACGACATCAGCAAATGCATGTGTTGCGCGTTGATCTTCTGTTATGCCGTTCAATCTAAATGACAGACTTTGCAGCACTACTTGCTAATGCACTACTATGCGTGGTGGTGAATTGCATTACAAACAAAAATACATTCGCCTTTTTGGTGCCTGTATTTAAAAAAAAAAAAAATGGGCTGCCCTAATACAACATGTGTTAGCGTGCTGCATAATGCACCTCAACATTGGGAATATAGATAGATTATAATGTTTTGTTATTTTTCTCTTAGGGCATCCTTTGCTTCCTGACTTTTTCTTAGATGAAAACCCAGATGTTGTCACCAGTAAATTGGAGGAACTGGGTAAGTTAATATCTTCTGAAAGGTTATTTTGAATCTGTTAACAGATGACCTTTTAAAAAAAAAAATTAGTTCAATTACACAATATATCTATCTAATAAAAGAAGAGTCCGGGAAATCATGCAGTAACTCTGCAGCCAATGCTGCTATCTCTGCCCAATTGTAGAAATAGCTTTGGGCCAGTAATTTAAAGATCAGTCATTGGGGGGGGGGTGGCTGCTTTACTTCTGCAACAAAATACAATATTGCCCAAATTTCACTTACACTACAATAATTGTTTTGTTTTATAATAGAGGTGCACTGAAATTAAAATTTAAAAACCGAAATGGAAAAATTGTCAGGCCAGAACCGAAAGTTTGTTTTTTTTCTAACTTTTTCAAAAAAATTTAAATATTATATTTTTTTTTTTTAGAATTTTTTAATTTGGTATATTTTATTTATTGTTAAATGTTGTTTTTATTTTAGAGATAGAGGTGAGTCCTCTATCTCTTTTTCTGCAGCCCCTGTTATAGATGAACAGGAATCCTCTATACTGAGTCTTCTTGTTCATTCATAACTTGAGAACATAGTATGTTTCCTATAACCACAATCATGAATGAACAGGAGGTGATGTAAATCACTTCCCATTCATTCATAATTGAGGATACCGTAAATATACTCTGTCCTCAATTATTTACGAACACTCAGCGATTGCTCAGTGTTTGCACCTGCTCTCCATCCTGACTTGCTGTCACAGAAGGCTGAGCGAGCGATGCGGGGAGAAGATCTCGATCTGACAGCTGACTCCTCCCCTGCACTGCCAGCCGGCCTCCAGTGACGGCTGTCTCAAGCCCCGCACCACTCTCCTGATCTATTACAAGAGGCTGAGCGCCTCCTGTACGCTCTCCTCCCCCGCACCGCTCGGCCGCCTGTGACAGTTTCTTTTCTGCCCGCTGGGACACAGAGCAGTGCCCAGGAGGAGTAGAGAAAGAATGGATGCACCGCTATTTTGGCCAAAAAATTGCACTTTCGCCATTTTGCCAAAAAGTGCAATTTTGGCCGATATGTTTCAGTGGCTGAAATATCGGTGCATCCATACTTTATAATTTACTTTAGTGGCCCCAGCCCACTATTTCTCATTTACCTTGTAAAAAAAATATAGTGGCTGTGACAGATCCCAGATACAATTTTTTACCCTGTGCTGAATGTTATGGCCTACCCAAATGGCAAGCTATTTTCTTTATCTTTTAAGCTTTATCTTCCCTTTTCTATAGATGCACTGACACTACACACACAGAATAATTGGCAATCTCTGGAGGCTGTGGAGACACTCAGGAGATGACCCGTTGTGTCTGAAATCTGCTGGAATGGATGTATACCCTGATGTACCCCTTGGCAAACCACAGCCTTCAGCACAATGAAATTTGCATTTCAAGTCTGCAGCCGGTGTTGTATTCTAGTGGAGTAGGAGGACAGCTTTGTTAAATTAAAAGTTATTCTTTAAAGGCTTGATGCCAAAGGACAGGTTTTCATTACAGATCCAGAGCTCTTTAACCTCTTGCCGTCCGCCCGTAGTAAAAAAACGGACGGCCGGCACTGCTACACCTGCGGGTTGCCGTCTCCAGACGGCAATTTTTTTCTGCTCGCGTGCGCCCCCTAGCGGGCACGCACGGGCAGAAAAGACCCGACGATTAAACACACCCGTTACCGGGTGTTTCACATATAGGCGATCAGCGGGTCCATAGCCCGCCGATCGCCTATATGTGCTCGTTCGCGGCACCACCTGAACCCCTTTTTCATGGGAAGGGGGTTTAACACCGCGGATGTCAACTGGTTAAAGTTTTTTTGATCTTTGTCTTGTTTTACAGTAGAAGATATTTTAGGAACACTTTGCTTGGTTTTCTCAGTGCCCCCTTTTGGTTTGTGGATCTTGATAATAGAAATAATACAATTTCCATTTTACAGTTTCCATAAAGACAAATAATGACATTGTCTCTTCATTTTATCATATTGATCTATCCGATTCCTTTGAAGGTGGGAAAGGAACCACATCAAAAGCCCAAAGTCTAGTAGAGGATACATTTAAAGCCATTGGCAAATCAGTCAATGAAGATGCTGTAAAGTCCGTTCAAGGCATCTATCAATTCATACTTTCAGGTAAGGAGTTTACTGGTCAAATATATTGCTAATAGAGAGCTGTTCCTTTATATTTGGTTTCAATGTGTACCTGTAAAAGAAGGTCATACTGCGAGATCTGCAGAAAGTGAAACCTGGGTGAATGAACTTCGGCAAGGAATTAGGGAAAATTAAATTAAGTGAAATTTGGGAATGTGCCAATAGAAATTCATGCCAGCGAACACCCAGGGCACAAGGTGAAAATACCAACAAAGTGATTGGTAGCCACTCTATTTATTATGAAATGCCTATATATACCTTTTTAGTTAGGATGGAAACTTGCTGTAGAGGATTGAATTGAAAATAATTTCTTAATTAAAAGACATTGTTGGAAGTTTTAACCCTTCCTCATTCTACTAAAATTTGTTTTTTCTCTGTGACCCTGTAGGAAAGATTTCCTCCCAATAAAGACACAGAGGCTCTAACCCTATTCTGCTGTATCCAAAATGAAATACAGCTAACTCCCCATTATCCGGCATTCAGGCAACCGGCAAAAAATAATCAAGTCTTTTTTATTTATTTTTTGCAGGTGGCTTAATGCACATAAATTGCTGGTTGCTTGGTGCACAGCACACTAAACAATTTCATTAGTAACTAAATCCGTTTGATTGCTAACAAAATTCTTTGTTTACATTTTGCTGTCGGCCGGCGGCTAGATTCCACATTCGGCAGCAGAATGTAAACAAATTCAAATAGACAAAAGCAGGCTGGCTATTGTGCCCACCCACTGAGCAGACCTGAGAGAGAAATTTCTCTCTCTCAGGTCTGCTCAGAAGGTGTGGTTTAATTTGCCAGCCTGCTATTACTATTTTAAATGGTCAATAGCAGGCTGGCAATTGAAACCCTGGCCACCAAGCAGAGGAGCAGACCTGAGAGATAACTTTCTCCCTCAGGGCCGCTCCTCTGCTGGGTGCGCGGGGTTTCAATAGCCAGCCTGCTATTGGCTATTTCAGATTTCATTAGCAGGGTGGCTATTGCACCCGCCCACTGAGCAGAGGAGCGGACCAGAGAACTTTCTCTCAGGTCTGCTCCTTTGCTCAGTGGGCAGGGCTTCAGTAGCCAATTGCAGTCTGGCTATTGCTCCCGGCTGCTTATATTCACCTGTTGGCTGTGGAAGCTGTCTGGCAGGTGAAGCGGGTGCCACAGGGGGATGGTTGCTTGAGAGTTACTATTAACTAACAAGCAACCAGAAACTACAGTTATCTGGCACCTACCAATCCCCATGAGTGTCGGATAACTGGAAGTTTACTGTAAAGTTAACAGTTATTTTGCAATAAATTTTAGCTTTGATCATTAAAGAATAGTTGGAGTAACATGTTTTCTTTCCAGTTGCTGGGGGTCAACTCTATCTTTTTTTTTTGCTACATTTCATATCCAAGATACCCCAAAATCTGAAAATTAAGCTTTTTTCAACTTCTGTTCTTGCAGAAGTGACGTGGGAGAATTTTCTAGGGAACACCACTAAGTTTGCTATTTTTATATTTTGTGACCTACTTTAATTTCAGGTGCAGAACAAGGCACTTGGTATTTGGACCTGAAAACTGACAAGGGTTCAGTTGGAAAAGGGGAACCATCTGTAAAAGCTGATGTAGTGATGAGTTTGGACAGTGATGACTTTGTGAAAATGTTTACAGGTTGGTACAAATGACAATTAATGACACACATTCTGAACCCTTTGTGTAAAACTGAGGTTAGGGAAAGGGCATTGCCTGTAGCTTACAGTTTGTCGAAATGTAAGTTAGAGAATAGATGGATTCAAGCACTTGTTTATTCCTGGCAAAACACATTTCCTTTTCCCAAGTTTTTGCAGATAAGGCCCAACATCACACTGTTTATAACCATTTCGTAGAACTATTCACCTTACAATCTTTCTGAACATGTGGCCTGTGTGAATAGATGCAAAAATGGATGTTCTTGCATATATTTGTTTTTCAGGTAAAATGTATGTAATACTGCATTTTGGCTACTAGATGGAGCTAAGCAGCAGAGAAAAAAAGTATTTTCAGTGCTCCTCTCCTCCATCTAGTGGCCAAATCGCATTATTGCATTACATGCATTCGACCTGTAAAGAAAATCTATCTAAGAGCATTCCTTTTTTGCGTCTATTCGTACAGAACAAATGTTCAGAAAGATCCCAAGAGCAAATGAATTGGTTGTAAATAGACCCCAAATTGTTCATTGGGTTCCACCCGTGGTATCTGACAGCCACAAATACAAGTTTAAATAACACCTACTTTAAAGATGGATAGTTTATTTTAGATATAGAGAGATTATACACACATCAAAAAGTTTTCCTGGCACACTCACAAGCTAGCATGTAAAAAAAAACTTGTCTCACGCTAAGGTTAATAACAGAGGTTTGGATACACGTCTTCTGCAGAAAATGTGAAAGCCGCACAGCCGCTCCAAGGCACCTCTATATAGTGCGGTCCTAACTCTAAATTATCAGAGTCTCCATCTTGGAGCACATGGGGCAGAAGATAAAATTGGGTGCAGGTTTGTCAGGAGGAAGCCCCTTTGTTTTGCTTGACAGATTATACACACACACACACATATTCTAGTTCAGCCTGCAAAAGCCAAGAATAGTTATAAATTCTTGGAAACTCCTCCATTTGGATATACTGTATTTTTCCAGAGAAAGAATTCTATGTTTAATCTGGGGGCAAATGTATCCCAACGCAGATGAGCAAAAAACAGTATTGTAACAAGTGAGTACATTTAAAATAGTAACCTTTCCTATCCATTTCTTCTAGAAACTGAAGTCAATTTAAATGTATATAATATTTTTGTTGGGCACATTTTTAGAGTTCCTTCTTTTATGTGTTTTTAATAGGATTTAATCAAGTATTGATGGTTTTATATTTGGCGTAACCCATATCTAGTAACTTCAAAACAATTATCTCCTTGCTAGCTATACTGACAAAAACGTTTTCCCATAGCCTGTCAAGAGTATAAAAAGGGCTGAGCATGTGATATTAGACTTAAAGCACAACTGTGCAAGTTGTCTTTTTAGGCATGTCTCCACCCCCTGAGTTCAGCCCACCTGCAGAAAAATCCCTTCCTCCTTGATACAGTGATCTTCATTGTGTGGCCCTGTCTGTAGCTGCACAAGCTTGCTTCAGAAGGGGTCCCTGCTTTGTCCTCTATAGCCTAAGCATGTATGATGCAGGTCCATTTGTTACTATGGGAAGACTCATGCTACAGCACTGCTGGAGGTTTACAATAAGTATGGGTCTGCAAATGAGAAAGTGGGGCTGTGGCATGCATGCTGAGGACAAAGGGGACTTGGTGGGGATGCTTTCTGATGCCTGCCAGTGCAGATCCAAGCACAGTGAAGATTTCTGCATCAGGGATAAAGGGAAGTAGTCTACAGGTTAGCTGTACTGGGGATGGTGGAAGTCTTAAAAGGACAACTTATACTAAAAGGTACAGTTGGTATTGCAGGTTGTTCATGCTGATATAGTATTGTTTTAGACCAGGAGTAGCCATACTATTGCTCTCCAGCTGTGGTGAAACTAGAGAATATAGTTAATGTTTAACTCCTTTTTAAAAATCTAAACACATGATATATATGTTCGATAAAGATAGGTTTTGCCTTATGGGATATCGCTGGTCCCGAAGCAATCCTCCGTTCCCCAAGCTTCCAGGTTGCTCGGGGAGGATAATGATGGCAGAGGAGCCATAGGCTCCTCTGCCATCAATCAAAGAGAGAAGGGGTGTGGCCTGCCACAAGGCTGTGTGTGTCAGGCAAGAGCGTGCACGGGTGCCTCTATTAGAACGATGGTGGCACCCATACAGGGAAAGATTGCTGCGGGGGACCACTAGAAAACGGGGGAAATTAAAAACTTTTAAAGAAAAACGGCAACAGCTTTAAGCAAAGGTGGGTCTCCTTGTAGGAAATATATATTAAAAGAAAAAGAGGCTTTAATATCACTTTAACTAAAAAAATCTAAGATCTGCAACCTCTGGGAATCTTAGCTACGCTTGCATTGATAAGCTGCTGTTTTAATTTCTAATACAGTGACCACATTTAGATATTTATGAACTAAGATCAGTCGGGTTTAGGTAGTTATTTTCCAGCAAATATGCACACTATGATGCATGATTATTGTATATATGTGTTCTATTACTATTTTATTTTCTTTGTACATCGGTTTTGTTTCTGAAATTGTAAATTAAAAAGGCAATAAAATGTAATTTGTCAGTCACCGAGAATATTTAATCTAATTATCAGGTAAACTAAAGCCAACAATGGCATTCATGGGAGGAAAGCTGAAGATCAAAGGCAATATGGCTCTAGCAATGAAATTGGAGGTGCTCTTGGGCCGACTAACTTCCAAGCTGTGATTTCAGAAACATCCAAAATATTTGAAGACATAATCTTGAAGCCTGAAAAAGGATCTGCTCACACAGCTTTTGCAATGTTGTCATAATAAAAATGTGAAATGGCTGACATCATGGTCCATTAATGAATACCTTAAAACAAGCAGTCATTATGTGACGTTATCTTAATATTAACTCGTAAGGAGCAAAAAATGGAAAACATTTTATTTATACACTAAACCTCAATACTTAAATTTTTTACGAGGATTATTATAAAAGTAGGTGAAATTCCAAAGTCATAACTAAAGGCATTATCAACACAAAAATTACTTTTTAAATGCTCAAACAAAAAATTGAATTAGGGTATTGTGTAACTAAGGACGTATTAGTGCACATATTTTGAGCAAATTTATACAAGAATTTTCAAACAATAAAAGACAAAGTTTAAAAATGTATCATTGTGTTTTTGTTTTTTTTCACATTAGGACTTTATAGTACTGCTAGGAGGGTCCATTTGCAAAAATAATACGATGTGTTTTTAAATGTATTTATCTAAAACTAGTTTGTAAACTGAAAACAGATTAGACAGGTTCTGTATGGAAACATGCAGGGTCTAATACTGGTGAATTTTGTGTTGGTGGGTCTTTTACTAAATGCCCCACCAGTGCACATTAGTCAGCAAGTATAGGACTGGATTCACACTGTTCTATGTGCATACGCATTTTTGTAGGTTTGAATGGGCCTATATGGTTTACTTCTCTGCTTTCACTCTAAACTGAATTGCATAAATGTAGACCAGCCGCACAAAAAATAATGGCATGTCTATTTGCATTGATTATCATGATGCATCATGATGATTATCGTGATGCATGATAATCAATGCATGCATGATTGCATTATTTTCTGCAGATTTTCTATGGTCGGATGGAAAAAGTGCAACAGATTCCGCCATCTACACTGTGGATAGAGGAATCTCCCACTGGGCCAAGCTTCAGTATCTTGCTAGTCGGCCCAGCTGGCTCTCAAAACACCTGAACAATGCCTGCATCCAATTAGATTGTTCAGATATTTTGAGAGCCAGCGGGGCCGACCAGCAAGATACTGAAGCTTGGCCCAGTGGGAGATTCCTCTATCCACAGTGTAGATGGCGGAATCTGTTGCACTTTTTCCATCTGACCATAGAAAATCTGCAGAAAATCTATATGTGTGAATAGGCCCTCAAGTTGATTGTGTGATCATTATGCTTGCTGTAATTGGTACTTGCACATGAGTTGCCTTCTATTATTTTCTTAAAATGTATTTCCACTTTTCCAACCTAATAACACCTACTTTAAATTTGTTGCATGTTCCTAATTGCATTGCATAACCTAAAAAAAAAAACATAATAGAAATTGCTGCTTACATATTACTTGTTCCCTCTAAATTGAATTCTCCTCTGGAGTGCAAGGGGGCTGGGGAGCTTACCCTAATTAACCCTGTCTGTACTGTGCTGGCAGATGTTATCAATTGTAAACTAGATTTGAACACTTTAACAAAGGGTTGAAGATCTAGAAGCAGTGGATGTTAGGCTGGGTTCACACCTGGGCGTTTCCTATGTGCGCGTTTTACGCATGTTTTTTTCCGGACATTTTTTGAGCGTATTGTCTAGTGTTTTTTTCACACTTGAAAATGCGCGACGTACGCGCGTTTCTTGATTGACTACAGAGGCGTCCAATGAAAGACTTCCTGAGACGCCGCATTTCCTTTTCCTGTTTCTTTGTTACAGAGGAGAGTGTGTTATGTGCAGTGTGTTATGGAGCTGGGCAAACGACGACGACGAACTGCAGCAGTGCATCTTATACGTTTGAGGAGAAGGAGACTGAGCAGGCGAAGGTTCTGGGTCCATCCTGTGATTGCGAACTGAGAACAAAGAGGGCAGTTTTGGGCCATGTACAAAACCCTTCGTGCACATGAGGAGAAATTATTTTCGTACACGCTCATGTCCATAAATAGGTTAGTACATGTACAATGCTTATTGTTGTGTATATATTTCATGTATGTATATATGAGTGAAATGTTTGTAAAACACACAAAGCTGGTATATTTTTCTGATTTCATGGCCCATATGCTCTTTAATGCATCATTTCATTGCTTAATAGCACCAGTTCATTGCTAATTGCTAGTATTGACCCCCAACTTTTATATGTTACAGTTTTGATGAGCTGCTGGGATTGATGTCTGTCCATTTGGAACGCTAGGACACATTTATGAGAGACAGCATTCCTCCAGCCGAAAGATTGATCATCACTTTGCGGTAAGTTCACTAACATCACTCCTACGTTTAATTCTGAAACAATCAAACATTGTAACCCCGAAGCATCGAATGAGTTATATGTAATTGTATATGAGACTGTGTAATGCTCTGTGCAGTGACTGTATGTATAATGCTCTGTGCGTTGTGCTGTTGCGTGTTGTGCCCTGTGCGTTGTGCGCTGTGCTGTTGCGTGTTGTGCGTTGTGCTTGTGCGTGTTGTGCTTGTGCGTGTTGTGCCCTGTGCATTGTGCTTGTGCGTGTTGTGCTGGTGCGTGTTGTGCCCTGTGCATTGTGCTGGTGCGTGTTGTGCCTTGTGCGTTGTGCTGTTGCGTGTTGTGCGCTGTGCTGTTGCGTGTTGTGCTGTTGCGTGTTGTGCCCTGTGCATTGTGCTGGTGCGTGTTGTGCCCTATGCGTTGTGCTGGTGCGTGTTGTGCCCTGTGTGTGTTTGCGATATGCAGGGTGACATATGGCATGTGTGACTCCCCTACATATGTGTGCCACAAGCATTGATATTAAAAAATCCTTTAAAAAAATGAAACCCTTTTCAAACTGTAACTAAACAAATGCACAAACTCATAGTTAAATAGTAATAAAATATTATAATAGAAATATTTGCATACACAAAAAGTGCAATAAAAACAAGGCCATAACAGCAGCCAAAGGGGAAAGGCATTTTTCCCTGCTTAACCGGGTCCAACACACCGTATTTGGAATGCAAAATGAAAAAGGTGCCTAGAGTCAAACATCGAACTACGGAACTTTTTTAGGCATTTTAAAAAATGTCGATAATTTGGGAGCGCAAAGTGAGGCTCTTCCACCTGCATGTCCTCCCTCATTCCACGTGTGGAAAAGCCAGCTGGTATTTGGCTGGTGGAGGTGGTGCTATGTGCCAGGCTGGTGGAGGGATAAACATATGGGGAATGTGGGCGTGGGTGCCATGTTTCTGGGTGGTGTTGATGGTGCACGGGTGTGTGTGGGTATGCTTGGGAAGTGTGTGTGTGTGCGCATGGGTGTGACATGTTGATGTGGAATTGATGGGGCTGGTAAAGGGGCAGTAGCATGTTGTGAGGAGCCATCAGGGAAAATTGCGCAGTTAAGGACTCTGGTTAGTGCTTCACGTATTTCTGACTGTTGAATGAAAGGCAATCAACACATGCAATTTTCCGAACTGTGTGGGAGCGATAGACCGAAAACATATCCGTGTCATCAAACCGATTAGGAGTGGCAGTCGGTTTTTTAATTTATAATTTTTTTTTTCAGTGGTCCTTTTTGCAGTAGCTGATGCCAACTACTGCTTCCGCTACATAGATGTTGGATCCTATGGCAGCAGCTCTGACTCGGCGGTATTCGCCCATTCAGACTTTGGACTGATGCTGCGTCACGGTGAGCTGAACCTCCCGGGGAACGCCACGCTGCCTGGTACCGCTGATCCTGCTATGCCTTTCGTCTTTGTAGGAGACGAGGCATTTGCTCTGGGTGAGCATCTTATGAGGCCCTACTCAAGCCGTGGACTGAGCCTGGAGAAGAGGGTCTTCAACTATAGGCTTACCCGAGCACGCAGGGTGGTGGAGTGTGCCTTTGGCATACTGTCCAATAAATGGCGCTTTCTGCACTCACCAATAAATCTGAAAATAGAAAATGCCATCTCTGGCTTTCTATTTACGATTCGTTGGTGCATTGCATGGAGAGTAGCCATTGGAGCGGCAGCCGTGGTACCATGCATGGAGGCACCATTCGGGACCAATTTGCTGCCTACTTTGTCACCTGAGGGGGAGGTGGCATGGCAAATGCAAGCAATCCAATCATGATTACAAAAAAGAAAAAAACCTTTCTCCTTGTTCTGTGCTTAATAAAGTTTATTTGAATATAACTAATATCTAGCCTTTGTTTTTTCTAATATTGAAATGCACAGCATAGCATGCACGCATGTCACATGAAAACACTGCACGCATGTCACATGAAAACACTGCACGCATGTCACATGAAAACACTGCACGCATGTCACATGAAAACACTGCACGCATGTCTTACCTTTTTGCTTCTTTAAATTGCTTGGTAAAACTCTCGCAATCAGGCCATGTATTTTTCCCAATTTCTTCCCATGCACGGTGCCTGGTACGCCGGTTCTTATATGAAGCATCCTGCATGTCATATATGCATGGCTTTTCCTTCACCAGGCGTATGAACACCTCTGTATCCATCAGGCCACATGCTGCAAATTCCTCCATCTTGGTCGGCCAAAAACTGTCTGAAGTCCCCAGTGTGTGGTCTGTTGCCATGTGCGGAACGCGCGTTATATAGGCGCGCTTTTGATGACAAAAGCCCGCAAACACCCATTTCAGCCCGTTCACGTTGAAGTCTATGGCCGTGAACGCGCTGAAATACTGCCCAAAGACGCTCCTGTACTTTTTCTGGCAAAGGGCGTTTTAAAGCGCGTTCATACGCACTGTAATACGCCCTGGTGGGAACCATGCCCATAGAAAATAATGGGATTTTGGTGTTTGAGCGTTTTACTGAGCGTCGGAACGCGCTGTAAAACGCCCAGGTGTGAACCAGGCCTTAGTGTGAGGAAGTTCAGAGTGTCCTTAGTCCTTTTACGGAGACAGCCACTTTCCTGTCCCCTTTGAAATTGTACAATTTGTGAATGAAAAAAGAAAACGAACATAGTACGATTTTCTAAAATTCCTAAATGTGGAAATACACTTTAAGCATGCTTTATCATGCAAAGAGTCCTAGACCAGATGTGAAACTGAGCTTTTCATGTAGATGCACCATAGGCAGAATACACATATGCAAC